TCTTTTTTCATATGTGGGATGCCACCATAGCATGGCTTGATAAGCAGTGCGTAGGTCCACGTCTGGGATCCGAACCTGCGAACCCTGGGCCGCCGAAGCGGAGGGCACAAACTTAACCACTACACCACTGGGCCAGCCCTCATGAAGGTGTCTTTTGACTACAACTGCTTGGGATCATATAAATACAATAGAATTCCAGCAGACAGAGTCAACTTATGTTACTGAGGTTTTGTTTTTTGTTTTACTTGTTTCTTTTTGGGGAGACAACTACATGAAATCTATCCCAGCCACAAGAGGAGAATTTGTTTTTTCTAAGATAATTATGTATGTTGTTTTAATTGTTATTGCAAATTTAATACATGCTGTACAAAATGAAGGAATTACAGGTACATACAAAAAAATGCAGATAAACCGTAGGTAGAAAATTAAAATCACTCGTAAACTAATAACACATTTTGGGGTATAGCCTCCCGATGTTGAGTATATATTTGTATGTGCGTACACACAAAATATACTCTCTTTTAAAAAACAAAGCTGTTTTGTGACTTTTAAAAAGTTACTGCCCACACTGAACATTTTTCCAGGCTAAGAAATATTTTTCTTTTATATATTTTTATGGCTGTTCATACAGTTATATGACTCTGCCATAGTTTATTTTACCTATTCCCTATTGTCAAATATTTAGTTGGTTTCCTTTTTTATTATTATGATAAATAGTGCTGTAGTGAACACTTTTACAACAAGTTATTTACAGAGAACTTGGTATATATATATATCTGCATTTATTCAAGCCATCTTTTTCATTTCTCAGTGAAGTTTTATAACTTGGATAGTACTTGGATAGTACTTATTGTTTTGTTCACTTTATTAAACTCTTGTTAGTTATTAGTTCTCAAAGTGTTATTCCAGACCCTCCAGGATTTTCCAGGTAGTTACGCATGTCAAAATGAAATAATGATAACTGTGTCTCTTTTTTAATACTTTTACCCTTTATTGCATTAGCCTACACTTACAGGACAATCTCAAATAGTGGTGATAGCAGAAGTTGTCAGGTTGTTTTTGCCTTTAATGATCATGCTTCTATTAAAATATCAAATCCCAGTTTGAGATTAATCTCATTTATCATGTTAAAAGAGGTTTCACAATAAATTTTTTAAAGTACAGAATAAATGTTGGAATTTATCAAATGCCATTTTTGGCACTTTTTGGGATAATTGTATAGCTTTTGTCTTTTGGCCTAATAACAGGATTAGTCTTAATAAAGGTTCATGTAGCAGGGTTAGCTGGGAAATTGTGGAATGAAGACTATACTCAGAGACAGAAAAAAAATGCTGGGAATGAGACAGGGTTCTGAAGCTTATTAAATTAAACACTCTGGAAAAGTCATTTATCTGCTTTGAAATATAGTTTCTTCTTTAAAATGGAAGAACTAAATCTCTCACAGAACTAATAGTATGAATATGGAAGTGCTTTTTAAACTGTAATGTTTAAGTATCATGATGGTCTCTATAATTTTATTTAGCTAAACCCTAATCAGTTTTCAAAGTCCAGAGAGTAGCACAAGGTTAGTGCTTCTTTTCTAAGAGGATCTTTTTTTTTAATTTTGATTTTTTTGGTGAGGCAGATTAGCCCTGAGTTAACATCTGTTGCCAATCCTCCTCTTTTTGCTGGGGAAGATTGGCCCTGGGCTAACATCCGTGCCCATCTTTCGAGGAGAGTCTTTTGATGTTCCTAGTTGCACAGGTTTTATTTTTCTTTAGTTTAACTGAATTAAAACACACATACAGATGTATATATCATCAATCAAAAGCTTGGTGTATTATCATAAAGGGGGAACAGTCATGTATCCACCTTCAAGCTCAAGAAAGAGAACATTACCAGTATCCTAGAAGTGTGAGAGACTATTCTACTTTTAAAATGTTAAAAATTTCATCTGAATCTTTTTTGGATGTCAGACTGCTGGCTACTGCTGATCTACATAATTCAGGAGGCAGCACTTTGTAAGAAGAAATTTCAGTAGCAGCAGTCGCTAGGCATTTAAAATTAGGGTTTGAGGAGGAATATTCACTAGGATGCCATGGTCATTTCCACAATAAAGAGCAGTCTTCTCAATAGTCAACTTTTTTGTTGCCTTCTTCAGTAGGTTTGTTGCCTTCATCTTAATTCCCTGATGTTGGAAATTCAAAACCAAAAGAGGCTGCACTATTGGGGGAAAAAAAAAGTTCAAGCTGGTAAATATGAGGCCATACATTCTCATTTTGAGATTTTAAAAAGTTCCTGGATTTCTTATTTGGATAATTCAACGTGCTTGAAAGTTTTGGGATAGTTATCATATTACTTCATTTCACACTCATAAGAATCTATGACTGAGCCAAATAAATATTAGAAAAAAGAAAACAAGACCTAGAGAAACATTTTGCATGAAATCATAGATTATTATGTTCAGTGGTCTGAAAAAAATTCCAAGTCCTGTATATCTTAGGTGAGCATCATTTGCAGTGTAGGATCTTGGTAACTCTTTCCAAAGTTCCATATTTCTAATGCATAGTGCAATTTCCCTTTAAACTTGATGAAAGGATGCTGATGTCTTAGCATAGAAGAGTGAATGACAAGAACCTTAGACTTGATACTCCAGGCTGTTGCCTCCCACTGTGGCCTCCATGCAAAGAAAATCTTGGAAGTGTGTTGGGATTCAGGGAAACTGGTCAGTGTGTCTGACGGAACTAAAGAGTAAGTCCACTGTAGTATTCCTGAGTCCTACCAAGGCATATGTAGTTCCAACATTTAAAATAATGCATATTATTGTTATTGGGGAAAACGAACAAACAATTCCATCACTACTGGTAAATAGGTACAAATTTCACATGCCCCCCTCCATTTGTGTATGCAAGAAAATTTAACATATTTTTCAGAATGTGTCCAATTTCCTGAAGGCCTAAATACCATCTTAGCATAGCAGAGACCATCTTGCTTCTTTTACTTTGTTGATCTGCTGAAACAGTCACCTCTGGAGGGAATGAATTCTTCTAACTGCAAGGTGCAATCCGGTGGGTTATGGGTAGGGAACAGGGAGAGTAGGCGTGGGAGCAACGAATTGTAGGTGAGACAAAATTTTGGTTATTATGTAAAATTATTATCCCATCACACATACAAGGCCAAATTGTTATTCATAGGACTGTAGCATAGAGATTCTACACCAAACTATTGAAAGGGAAATGTTATTCTTTTCATTTTCTCTTTGCCTCAATCCCCACCCACTAACAGGTGAATAATTAGGCTCATTTCCATTTAATAATGCACTGCGTGGGAATAGATAAGCATTTGAAGAGTGATTAGCGGAGCAACTTAACACTTTGCTTCTAGAAAAATAATGGCTGAGGATTTAGCAGACACATAGAAAACCACAGACATGCCAAATTCAATCTGGGAGTTTAAAATCCTCCTCTAGAACACGGAGCCTCAGCTTCTCTAACCAATCTCCCTCAGCAGTATTATGTTCTCCACCCTAAATGATCCCAGGCAGAATAGGTGGAAATTTTCAATTACTTAGAAAACATGGAAAATGATAGACAGTCCTGGACCCTTGTCTATCCTGAACTATTTAAAGGCGTTTTCTCTGGATGGCACATGGTCAGAGGTAACGGACAGAGTTGCAGAGGTTAACATACTTATTATTTTGGATCCTGTGCAAGTGCATGTAAAAACGTCAGCAGATTAAAGACTAGTTAAAATGAAGATTGAATTTAGTAATTGTATGAGATTTGAAAATATTAAGGCCTTTTGATGTATAAAATTGCCCCTATGTTCTCAGTTACTGCTGTATGAAATTGCGTTTTCCCCTCACAAGTTAGTACTGTTATTATATGTCCTTGTAACTGTTGACTTTGAAATTTTATTTCTAAAACCCCCTAATAACTTACTTTGTAAAAAGGCAGACAAAAAAGAAGAGGGCAAAAATTCAAGTAAGGTTGTATTGACTTTCCTTGGGATGGCATTTTTATTGGGATTTATGAATGATTGTGGAGAAATAATTTTAGAGCTGGAAAGGAATTTACAGAGATCATCAAATACAAGTTCCTCATTTTATAAAAGCATGTTCACATTACACTATATATCAATTAAACTAAAAATTCAAAGGACAATATATCTCATGAACATTACCTGTAGATGAGGGTGATAGTCATACTGTCTTCTATTTTTAGTAATATTTGATCTGCAATATAAAAGATATCTCAGAGAAAAAGTCGATATCCCTTGATCATTGATGGTGAAGGTAAATGCCTTCAAAACCGTTGCTCCCGGGGAAGGCTGAGGCTGTTCTTTACTGGACTGCTGGTGTTTGCATGGCCCCTGGGATGCTTGTCCCAAATGATTCTCAGGTATTTATATTTGGCAGCAGAAGTTTCAGATTAAATTTTAAGCTCTAAGAATAACTTGGTTTGATCATAAATTGCCTATGGTTTCCTTTGGAGTAATATTAGGACTTCATTGCCAATTATATTTACAGAGTGAGTTTTGGTAAATCAGCATTCAGAACACTAAAAAATTCTAGCACAATGAATGGACTTCAATGTAACTGCTTACCTGCAATTATGAGTTTGAAAGAAACGTAACTTTGGCCTTTGAAACATTTTGTTCACTTGGACAGGTCAAGGAACTCTTTTTCCGTAATGGAGGTACTTTCCATAAATAAACAAACAAATTTTTATGGTGAAGGACTTGACCTATTGCTTTTGAAAGGCTTAGTGTGGATTTGTAAGTATTTTATGATTAAGTGGCTTTTATGTGTTATGTTCAATGGTTCCTATTTTCTAGTTATAAACCAGTTTAATCCACAAACACCCACTCAGGAAGAAAATCTGTATTCAACTCCTGTCTTTCCTTCCCTGACATGACCCTCCAAATAGCCCTTTACTCATTCAGTAAATCACTTATTTACAAGTGTAAAGCTCATTTCATGTCCCAAGTGCTGTCTAAGTTACTATTGGGACACGAAAGTGAATAAGACATAATCCTTTTTGTCATGAATTTACAGTATTTGAGCAAAAATTAGATGTATGCAAGTAACTATGATGCAAGCTATTATATTGGGACGTGTTGAATAAGAGATATCAACTTCAAAATATGGAGTTGAAAGGAGGGAGTGAGATATTAACCCCAGTGTGATGGTAGATGCTGCCTATGTTTATGTGTGTATATTACATGTACATATGTGAGATGTGCGCATACACACACATATATAGTATATAATGTGTATACAGACTGTGTATATATACATATACATGTGAGGTATATATATACATATATATATACTGATATATATATATATATAAAATATGTGTGTGTGTGTGCTTCAGAGGTAATGCTTTTGTGTTTCGTTACTGTATTAAAAGAGCCTCTTCAGGCATTGTTAGAAGTGACTGACTTGGAGAGTTACCAGACCAATCAATATCCTTTATCCAAAATTCCATTGCTTAACGCTATGTGTAGAATTGATGACTTTCTACTTTGTTCTCTTTGTATACAATGAGCACAAATATGTGGAGAGTGCTCCAAGACGGTAAGCGTTTTTTGTTGTCCTGTAAGTTGTAAACTTTTTATCTCTAGGACCTCAAACCTAATACATAATCAGAAAATATTCATTGAATGAATTAACTTGGGCAGCCCAGATAACTAGCACCCCTCTATCAGTCAGAAGTCACTTTGAACACCATAATAAATACCCCAAATAATATTGATGTAGGCAAGATAGAGGTTTATTTTTCTTTCATGCAATAATCTGGTGTAAACAGTTTAGGTCTATTTCTGTCACTTCATGGTGTCAGAGACCCAAGGTTCTTTTATTTTATTCTGTCCCATCCATAGGGTATTGCCTTTATGTATTTGGAGCAATTTAATTTACTATATTACCTGAAATCCTGCCGGCAGGAAGAAGGAAAGAGGGAAAGAGGGCTTGCTTGTTCACCTTAAGACTATTTCTTGGAACTTGCGCAAATCATTTCCACTCATATCCCACTGGTCACACTTTGTCACGTGGCTGCAGCTCATTGAAAGTGTGGCTAGGAAATGTAGGCATTAGTCGGGAAGCCATATGCCTTAGATAATGGGATCCAGTTAGCAGCTTCTGCCGTAACCTCTTATACGTGGTGTAAGCATAGTGTTTACTTCAGTGTGATTCTACTACATGTTATATTTTCATTATAGAATCTGGCACCTACAGTTTTGAAGTATGTGAGATCAAGACGTCAGCCATTCTCTGGTAGTTTTTCCACCTGAAGGAAGTGCTTTCTGTTGTTCACTGGATTATCAGAATTGTTTGTGGTTATTACAGGAACTAACATCATTTTAGAATTTCCATGTGTCTTCGCCAAGAAAACAGTTCCTTTCTGTGATGGATTGGCTCTCACCCCTCCCATTCAGGGCTAGTATCCAAATAGAATAGGTCACTTATTTTCTTTAGTAAGTGTTCCAGACTGTTTGTTGATTCATTGTCCAGTAGGAACTATGCCAGGTTGCTGAGGCTTGTTGAAGGAAAGGTTACATATTTTTGGTTGAAAACAGGCATCAGGAATCTCTTTTGTATCCATTCTCCTTCATCATAGTAATCCTCAAAACACTTGACAAATTTTAAAAAATAAAATTATCAGCTTCATTTTACTGGGAGAAACATCAAAAGATGATACAGTTTGCCAAACATCATAGAGTGGATTTCTAACAGAATTAGATGCTTGGGCACCTGAACTGAATTGCATTCTTTTCTTTATTTTTCATATTTATTTAAATGTCAAAGAGTTGAGGAAGATTTCAGATACATCTGGATTTTGTCAGGTTCATGACATGACTGGACTGATTTGGGGCGATTTTGTGGCATTTCACGTAACAGACAACAGAACTGAGTTTCCCTTCTTTGGTTTCTCTGAGCTCTAATCCTTCATTGCAACAAGTTTTCTCAGCAGGTGGTGATAATACAGAAGATGAGCTTTGACTGGACCACATGTATGTTTTCTGTAGATGATTAATTTATTCTTGGAGATAAAAATGGATTCTGTGCTCTAATGTGAGATGACAGGGTTAGTTATTTCCCCCAACCCACATAATTTAATAAGTGTCACATTCTTAACGATGACATATGCTATACACCCTGATTCTCTGAAGGATAAACATAGGATTGTAGATTCAACTGCTACTACAGCTCAGATGTAAAGGAAAATGGAATGTCTTTATTTAGTCTATAATAAATCTCATCTTTCACTTTTATTATTAAGTCTCTACTTGGTAATTAGTTGGAGAAAAAATTAAATTTTAGTCTTATCCAGTTTATATTTTAGTCCAATCATGTAATGGACAGCGTATAGTCTTTCTTTGATGAAAATTATCTGGTGCCCAGCCAGCCTTTCCCTCTGCCTGCTTTTCTTCCTAACGTGGCATCTAGCAGTATGAGGACTTATGTATCTTTGGTGGGAATGTTACTCCTTGACCTTCTGCTGGACTTTCAGTGGACGCTGGTTGGCATCTGCTATCTATTGGCCTCCAAGATTCACCTTGGTTTCTATTAGATTCTGATCTCTAAGTTCTCTTCTGTGGCTTCCTTCTAGCCCACTTATCTAGTGGTGTTGCCTCAGTGTGCCACGGGGGGCCCCAGTGCAGGTCCATGTGGCCTACGTACGGCTCCTAGAAGTGAGAAGGGCTCAAAAAAGTAAACCTTAGACCTTTCTTTGCCTGACCACTTGCATGTCTGTGGCAGCAGGAGAACAAGGGACATTGACTTCTCTTTGCCATGGCATTAAAGGCTTCAGCAGTGGGCAGGGAAGCATTTACACTATGGGAGAATGTCATGACCTGTACTGTTGATGTGGTGAAGGGGGAGGCAAATATTTAGGAAATTCATTCTCAAGATGCTTAATTTTATTTTAGCCATTCACTAACAATCTTCCTGTAACAAACTGTAACGGCTTTATGTTGAGGACTTGGACAAATGTAGCAGCATCAGAAAAGCAGAAAAGATATGCAGATAAAATTTTATATATATATTTGACCCTCATAATGCATTATTTGCAGTGGGACTCCTGTGAAATCCCAGTGTCTGATCCATCCAGTCAACACACAGATCCTAGTTTCCTGGTCAGCTTTCTCCATACGACAAATGACTTATTACTCTGCCAACATTACAGCTATTGTAAGTTTAAAATGTATTTGGTTCACCTTTTCTCTAACTATCTTCCTGTCCTCTCTTTCATTGACACTCCTTGAGAAAAAGGCAAGGTGACGTTTTTGTTATTTTATTCATGTGTCCAATAATGGATATACAGAAAAAGCTAAGAGATTCTTTTTTCTGTATAGATTTTAAGGATAGTCACTAAGATAGGCACATTGCAATCCAATGACAAAAGGCAGATTCACCTCTTTGGGAAAAATGGCACACTTATATTTAATCAACTTTTACAAAGTGACCACAGTACACCAGGCTTGAGCTGCAGCCCACTGAAAACAGCCATGTAGTCAAATAACTTTGGAAAATTCTGCGTGTTGTTTTCCCCTCTTGGAAACAGTACAGATTAACATGTTATAGGGTCCTGCAGTTAAGAAACATAATTTTTTCCAACACACTGTTGTCCAAGTTTATTAGACCAGAGAAACATCGTACTTTAATTATTTTTTTGTGGGACACCTCGTAGCATCACGCAAAAAATGCTGAACTCTGGAACACACTTCAGGAAACGCTGATCTAGGTACCAGCGCCCTCAAGAAATCATTTTGCAAAAATGGAAAATATCTTAATGCTTGGCAAATAACCATTTTACATCAGGAATGTTCTTTGAGTGCATGGTATCAGGTAGATGCATGTATATACCTCACAAATAATGCCACTCTTCCCACAGGAGAAATGTTTTACAGATATTTTGTTGTTTATTCTGATGTTATATCATTCCGAGGAAGTCCATAGCCAATGTCATCTACATCTCTCTTTCGGTAGTGATAGCTACAACCTCCCAGCCTTCCTCCTCAGACCTGTATGGCTTCTCACACATTCTCTTCCAGCTGCCTGCTAGCCTACTGTTTTAAGTCCCATTTAATTATTATTATTTTTATTTATTTATTTATTTATTTTTGTTAGGAAGATCAGCTCTGAGCTAACATTCATGCCAATCCTCCTCTTTTTGCTAAGGAAGACTGGCCCTGGGCTAACATCCGTGCCCATCTTCCTCTACTTTATGTGGGACGCCACCACAGCATGGCCTAACAAGCGGTGCGTCCATGCGCGCCCGGGGTCCGAACCCGGGCCTCCAGCAGCGGAGCGCGCGCGCTGAACCACTACGCCACGGGGCTGGCCCTTATTTAATTATTTTTAACAGATTGTTTTAAAAGTTAGCTAAAGAGCATACCTTACATTTTTTCCAAAGCACAAACAACTTCTGTAATTTTGTTGTATGTTACTAAAGCCAAATTGGAGAAGCTTCTTAAGAAACTTAAAAGGATTCATCTTTTTTTAAGCCAAATCATATTGTAATTCATCCAAATTTTTAATGTTAGTAGCTGTGCAATTTTATTTTCTCCATCAAGTGTTGCTCATAGTTCTGAGTTTTTATCCTCAGAGGTTGATGGTTATGTATTTTACCAATCCTTTGCCTTGATTTCATGGCAGGCACTGAAATCAAGTGAATTTTGAGACTGAGACCTTTTCTGAGGCTTTACCAGATGTGTTGAGTTTAGCCTATAGCAAAACTGTATTAGACCTTCATCAGCATATGTCCCCTTGTCATATATAGCAGATGAGAGGTTGGAGAGCAGCTTGGATCCCAGTCATTTTCACTAAAAGCAGCAAATAATGGGTATTAAATACATAATTAAACAGGGAACATTCCAGATTGGAAGGGATTCAACCACAACTTTGGAGCAAGTGTTCAGTTTACATCTCCAAGGGAAAAACACTATTAAGTGATCCTTCTGTGAATTATGCAGAACAGCTATTTTAATCTACAAAATATCTTCCAAGCACCAAATATATAAATCGATATGTTG